GATTGCTTTAAGCTGACACCGCTCTCAGAGGCGTGAGCGGGCAAGCACTAAGTGCGAGGCCGCTCTGATTCCTCGGAGCAGTGACGACCCACCCACACGGTGCTCAACCCCAGGGGCGGGGCTCGCCACGCCGCGCCGCGCGCCACGAGCGATCGTGGATCACCCGTCGGCGTCAGGTGGCATCGCCGTCCCGGCGTCCCAGAGCAGCGTCTATTCAGGGCGACGCCGCTCACGCCATTTAGAGCGGTGTCAGCTTAAAGCAATCGCTGCTCTCACTAGCTAGAGCGGTGTTCACTCAGCAAAGTCCCGCTCTGAAGAGGGGGAGGAAAGGAGAGCGCGACTGAGGGAGACGAAAGCAGCCTCTCCGCGGAAATTGACCGCTCCCGCTATGTTGAGCGGTGTTGCACTGACTTGACTCCGCTCGAACGTGTTTGGTGGTTGTTTTTCTGAGCAGGAGTGCTCTGAAGGTTGGTTGGTTGCAGAGCGGAGTCTTGTTAGGCAAACGCTGCTCTGTGTTGTGTAGAGTGGGGTTTAAGCTTGAAGAACGCTGCTCTAGCACCATCGAGCGGGGTTCCTGAGATAGAACACCGCTCTGAGATGCGAGAGTGGCGTTGCGCGTTTTGCTTTTGGCCCTCACCTTCACAGCCATACTGCGGTCACATCCCGGTACTCGAGTAAGCCGCATCGGCGTACCTGGGCTGTGGCCATCGGCCAAGTCCATCATCGATGGCCGAGACAGGCCCCGAGCCAGGCCCCGAGACCGGCCCTGAGACCGGCCCTGAGGCAGGAGGGCCCGAGCCGGCACCTGGGCCCGCATGCTCACTCCTCCCAGAGTGCCAGCCGCCCGGCGGCGTCGGCGACTCGCACGCGACGCGCGAGGAGCTGCGGCAGCGGGCGCGGCGGCGCGGCAGCCGCAAGGTTGGGATTCACGCGCTCGAGGTGTACACGCCGCGGCACGCGTGCTCCGCGACGGAGCTTGAGAAGGCGCACGGGACGCCGGGCAAGTACAGCGTCGGGCTCCTCATGCGCGAGTTCTGCGGGCCCGACTGGGACGAGGACCCCGTCTCGTTTGCGCTCACCGCCGTCGCGCGGCTGATGTGGCGCAACGGGCTCAGGCACGCCGACATCGGGATGATCCAGGTGGGGACGGAATCGCTGCTCGACCGCTCAAAGTCGATCAAGTCCAACCTGATGGCCCTGTTCGAGGAGCACGGCGTCACCGACATTCAAGGCACCGACCAGTACAATGCTTGCTACGGCGGCACCGCCGCGCTGCTCAACTGCCTCAACTGGGTGGAGTCGGCGGCGTGGGACGGCCGGTGGGCGCTCGCCGTCGCGACCGACATCGCCGACGCGCCGGCCCAGTACCGCTTCATGGTTGGCGCTGCCTGCACGGTCACGCTCGTTGGACGGCCGCGCCGCTCGAGCCGTGAACGGCGTCCCTTCACACCTGCAGCTGTGAACAGGTCATGCTCGTCGGCCCGGACGCGCCGCTCGAGCTGCAGCGCGAGCGCGTCTCGCACATCTTGGACCGGTGGGACTTTTACAAGCCGGTCGGGTGGCACGAGATGGCGCCGATCGTCGACGGGCTCTACTCCGTCGACGTCCACGCCGTGCCGTGAGTGTGAACGGCGTCTCTTCACACCTGCAGCTGTGAACAGGCCCTCTCCGTCGACGTCCACCTTTCGTGCCTCGACTGTAATTCATTCACTCATGACTGCATTCGTCAGGCCCTACTCGATCGACGTCTACTTTTCGTGCCTCGACTCGACGCAGCGGCAGCGCGGCCTAGAAGCGGAACACGGACTCGTGTCCTCCAGCCATCGCTCGAGAGGAGGCGGACTCGACTGCACTCGAGCATCCTCCCGCCCTCACGCCGGCGTATTCAGCACGCAGGCAGCTGGGCGAGCGGGTCGGCTACGCAAACATGGTCGAAGAGCACGACTTCCTCGTCTACCACCTCGGGTCGGGCCCAAAGTTCGTCAAGCACGCGTTTGAGCGCTCCTGCGCGCTCGCCTACCCGCCCGAGGAGGAGGCGCGCGCGCCTTGCTACCGCTCGCTGGAGCTCGGCTGGATCTCGGCTGGATCTCGGCTGGATCTCGGCTGGATCTCGGCTAGATCTCGGCTGGAGCTCGGCTGGATCTCGGCTGGATCTCGGCGGGATCTCGGCTGTATCTCGGCTGGATCTCGGCGAGAGCTCGGCGAGACCCCGGCGAGAGGTCGGCGAGGTCTGATCACCCGCACAAGCCGACCTAGCTGGCCCCCCCCCCCCCCCACCCACCACCCCCCCCACCCCCTCCTCCTCGCTCCCCGCAGTCCCTCGCCCTCGAGCGCGCCCACCAGGAGGGGGAGTACTCGACACCGCGCAGCAGCACGAGCCGCCGAAAGTACCTCGGGCTGCGGCAGACGCAACAGGCCCCGCCTCTTCTAGCTCCCCGGACCGCTAGGCACACTCGCCCTCCATGTGTGTGTGTGTGTGCGTGTTTGTGTGTGCCCGTGTGTGTGTGGAGAGAGAGAGAGAGGCTCACCTGCCTCCCCACACCTGCCTCCCCACACCTCGCCCAGGCTCGCGGCCTACCGGTGACAAACTGGGACAAGCACGCGGAGCTGGACGGGCGCACGCGCACCACTCTGCCGCCGCCGGGCCGTGAACGGCGCCTCTTCACACCTCCTTTTCCCTGTGGAACAGGCGCACGTACCACTCCGCCGCCGCCTTCGACGCGCTCAGCGAGCGGTACGCGAGCACGTGGGGCAAGTTCGGCTGGACGGCGGCGGTGGAGGACGAGCAGCCTGGCGGCGCGTACTACCTCACCGAGTGCGACACGCTCGGCCGGCGCGCCCGCCGTGCTGGTCGAGCCCCCGGCCATGTCCACGACATGTCCGAGACGCGTCCGAGACGTGCCCCACAGGCGCGCCTACCGCTTGGTCAAGCACCCAGACATGCACCTGCAGGGCCCGCTCTCCATCGCCATCGAGGACTCGCGCCTCTCAAAGGAGGAGCGCGCCCTCACCAAGGAGGGGCCACGATTCGACTGGCGGCGCGTCAAGCCCGCCGAGGCGAAGCCGCCGCCGTCCAAGCAGCCGCAGCCGCCAAAGCCGCCAAAGGAAGGCAAAAAGCAGAGCTCGAAGCAGCAACCGCCGAAGCACAAGCAGGCGCCGGCGCCGGCCGCGGCGCCAGCTGCGGGCGGCGCGCCCGCGGCTCCGGCGCACGACAAAGAGGCGCTCGCCGCCCTTCTGTCTGCGCTCCAGACGCAAGCTGAGGCGGCCGCGTAGCTCGGGGATGCGTGGTGCACTGTTCTCAGCACGCCGATGTCACGGCTTCCTCGATTGTCGAGCCACTCGTCCACCCCAGGCATGAGCCAAGGGCAGCTGTGATTCTTTATTATGGTGTTTGACATTGTGCCCTTTGTATATGCCCGCCGTAGAGCTGTCAAACGTTAAGAGCTGAACAGTGTTGCGCTAGTGTTAACAGTAACAACAGAACAACAGTTGGGCTGCGGCTACCCCAACAACAGTAGCTAACAGTAACACACACACACACACACACACACACACACACACACACACACACACACACACACACACACACACACACACACACACACACACACACACACCGCTCACCCACGCGCACCGGGCCTTGCACTTTAAATGCCGTGGGGCTCCTGTCGTTAGACGTGGAGATGCGAGGGTTGCCCCCCCTTGCCCCACCACCTCGTGTGTGTGGAGAAGTTTTACCTTACCTTACCTTACCTTACGTTAGGCCAGAGGCGGTAAGCCGTCGTTGCCCGGCGCTGCTTGCAGCACCATGGCGATGACGCTAAGAGGTTCCTCTTTTGACGGAAATCGAACACCGGGGTGCTCCTAGGGCTATAAGGGGCACCACCGACCCGTGGGGGTTCCTCGAAATAAAATAAATGCCGGACCCGGTAGACCAGCAAAATACGCGTTTCTAGTTCGCCCTGTGATCGCACGCCAAAGTGTGTGCACCCATGTACCCGTGTTCCTTTGACACACCACAAAGCTGGCAACATGTCCTCCAGCGCTTGCCATTTCGTGGCTGTGTGCCGGGCGCGCACGTGCGCGTGCAGAACATGCACTGGCGCGGCTCGGGCGCGACTGGGGTGGGCTGCTCCTGCGCCGCCACTCCTAGTGTGGTGGGGACGGGCTGCGGCGCCGGAGGCGACTGCTGCTGTGGCTGCGGCAGCTGCGACTGCGGCAGTGGCGGCGGCAGCGGCGGCGGCTGTGGAGGCTGCGGCGCACCTCCCATTCGGCGCCTACGCGCCGCCTCCACCGCCTCAGCCGCCGACTTGTTTTTGTGACAGAACGCGCACAGGCTCTGCATGTTGTCGAGCCCAGCGCAGCCGCCCCCAAAGCGAACCGCGAGGATGTGGTCCGCCTGATCAAAGTGGAGAGTACTGAAGGAGGCGCCCTCCCTTGGGTTGTCTGTTTTCTTCTTTCTTTCTTTTCCGAGCGACACACTCCGCAAGTTTGCGCCAGCGGCTGCGGGGTTGCCGGATTTTGCGGCTTCGCCACAGGCTGGGCCGGACCCGGGGCGCAGCCGCCTCGCTGCGTGAATTCCACGTCACACACGCAAGTTATTTTTCTTTTATCACTCACAAAACGCTCCGCCGCACGTCGTCGGCTCGCACGCTACGGCGAAGAAAGTCTTGCATGCAGACGCGTGAGCACCGTGAACTCGGAGGCCGGTGCGGCACCTCCGCAAAGGCTGCACGAACCTGCACGTGTATTAACTGCGGAGACAAGCATCCCGATCCATGAGTATCGGAACCGACGAAGAGCAGTATATCGATCCTGATTGCTGTTACGATGGCATTGGCTGGGGCATCCTCGATTACAATAGGTCACTGGGATGCTGCAGGTCCACATGGACCACCAAGAACTGGCACGGGCTGCAGATGCAGCGCTTGTCTGTCGTTCTCCACGCCGCCGTGGCGTGGCAGACGGTGAACGAGCTAGCGTGCGGGGAGAGCGGCATTTGTGCACGGAGCTAAGTGCATTGCCGTTCTTATAACGGAGTCGCTTAGCCGCTAAGGCTTAGGCGGCTCCGGTGGTGTGCCTGTGATAGTGCTAGCACGCGCCAGTTCGCACCTGTTCGAGCCTGTCTGCTGTGAGATAGAGTTGTTGTGAGTGAGTATTCTTGATACGAAACCCAGTGCCACGACGACGCACACACCAGTCGACTCGCATCGGTTGCCTCCATGAACGGCGGAGCTATTCTCGCGTCCACACACACACAAAAACACATAGATTCATGTTTAAATTCTTTTTCTCGCGATGTCTGCCCCGCCGCGGCGCCGCTCGCGCCGCCTCGCCACCGCCTCCTCCGCCGCCGCTCCCTCGCCAGACACGCCGCCGCCCGCCCGCCTCCTCGACCTCCCCACGGACCTCCTCGAGCGTCCGTCTCGAGTCTCCGGCCAGACTCGAGACGGACGCTCGAGGAGATCCGTCTCGCGCCATACACCAGTAGATTTGTTGAGTGGAGATCGTAGATGCCGATCAGAGATCTTCCACACACAGCATCTCTCACAAAACTCAGAAATTTTAACTGAAGATGGAGATCTTGAGCTGCCGCCATCGGCACCTCGAGATCTCAGGCCGGAGACGGAGATGTTGACTTCACGCCAAAGGCGCCTCGAGAACCGTGTGGCCGACTGGAGATTGCAAAATGGCGCGAAAAGAGGGTGGAGATCCGCTTGAAGGTGTGAAAGGAAAAGAGCATCCCCTTGGAAGGACGTCGATCCCCCCCCTGACACGCCTCCCCCCCACGAGAGTGGAGATTGGAGATCGGAGATGAAGATCGGAGAACGCGCCTTCTTGTTATGAGCGGCTGCCCGCCGCTTCCTAGTCTCTGGCATGCCCGCCCGCCGCCGGAGACTCTGCGCCGGAGATCGGATCCAGTTTAGATCTCCGATCTCCATCTCCAATCTCCAATCTCCAATCTCGATTCGGGGGGGGCGGGGGAGGGGGGGGGCTCGAACCTTCAAGGAGATGCGCTGTGGATTCATTCACACCGCACATCTCCGATCTCCGATCTCCAATCTCCCATTTGACCCCTGCCGCCGCCAGCTGCTAATCTCCAATCTCCACGAATCTCGATCTCCAATCTCGCGAGGTGGCCTCGGTAGACGGCCTGCGTGGGTGGGGGGTGGGTGGGGGTGGGGGGGTGGGTGTGTGTGTGGGGGGGGGGGGGGGGAAGTTTAAGGAACCTTGGGGGGAAGGGTTAACCCGGGAAGGAATGGGGTGTGTGAGAGGGAGGGGAGATGGGAGATGGGAGGGGGGGGGGGGCGTGTCGAGGGACTCCGAGGGAGGCAGGAGGGAGGAGCTCCCCTCGCCTGCACTCTCACCGCCGCCTCCGCCTCCTCCCGCTGCAGCCTCGCCACCGCCACCGCCGCCTCCGCCACCGCCGCCTCCGCCGCCTCCGCGCCTGCCTCGCCGCCCTCGCCCTCGCCCTCGCCGCGGGGGGACAGCGCCTGCTTGGCATGCAGCCCGCGCAGCCGCGCCTCCGCCTTCTGCCGCGAGAGCGACGCCTGTCGCTCCTCGAGCTGCGCCGCCTCGAGCTTTGCCCGCGCGTAGTGGCCCCGGTAGCACGCCTGCACGCGTGTCGCGAGCGCCGCCCGCCGCTTCCGATCGTCGGCCGCTGCATCGGCCGACGGCGAGCCACCATCCAGGGGACCGAACGGATCGGCCGACGGGACAAGGCTCCGGAAAGGAGGGGAGACGGCAAGGGGCGTGCTCGGCGCCTCATACTCCTTGAGCCGCACCTCGAGCGCGGCGACCTGCGCCGATAGCGCCGCGCTACTGGCCAACTGTGCCTGGACTTTATATTCTGCTACCTCGTCCTGCGCTTGCCGCGCCGCTCGCTCCGCTTCCTCGAGCCGGGTCTCCAGATCCTGGATGTGGGCTTCGTACTGTGCGTCCAATAAATGGTTGGCGGCGGTGGCTCGATTGTGCGCCAGCTTTTGTTTGCTGCCGCAGGCTCCCATCGCGATGCGGGATGCAGAGCACAAAATACGGGCACCCTCGGCCTTTTAAAAAAAACCGCTCTCCAGCGTATCCGTGTACGTGCGTGGAGTACAGTGTTGTGTGTCCGTTAGCTCCGAGTAGAGGGGGCGTTCTGCAGTTAAGGGGAAACCCGGTACACGGAACTAACCGTCGGAGACCCGTGTTTACTTTACGGCCCTTTCCCTGCGAACGCGCGCCCCCCCAGGGCTAGGGCTCTCTAGCCCGTAACCCGATGCCGATCATCCGGCCCGCTGGGTGCGCTTCTTAGCTCCCCGGCCCTGGATGTGAGGTTAATGACTGCACTCCAAGTGCTCCAAGGCGATTTTTGCGCCATACGCTCTGCCATCGGTGAGAGGCTGAGGGGTGTGACGCGTCACGCGACGCCCGCTCGCTCCCTCGCCCAATGGATCTGCCGGCCGTCAACCCAGTTTAGTTAGCCGGAGGGTCGTCCGTTGTTTGTGCTACGCCCAGCGAACTCGGGAGGCTTCGCTACCAGCAGCTGCTCGACCGCGCGGGCCACCTGCACCGCGGAGCCTGCGCGGCCGAGGCGAGGTGGGTTAAATCTGACCACGAGTTTGGGGCTACCCTGGCTACCCCTGCGTCTCCAAACGCGATGAGCCTATGTGGGAGTTTACCCGTCATGATAGTGCGAGGGACTGCGGCCACCTGCGGCTACGCCCAGCTTGAGCAGGAGCTCGAACTCCGCGCACAGAGCGAGGGAGACGCCGTCCATCTTCTCCTTGCTCATAGTCGCGCGCAGGGCGGCGCGCTCGGTGAGATCGAGGCGTGCGAGAGAGAGCCGGGGAGCGGTGCTCGAGCCAGACGGCCACCTCGAGCACGCTCCACTCCGACGGCGGCTATTAGTCAAGCCTTTGTAGCTTCCTCCCCCTTTCCCTACCAACACTTTTCTCACGCGACGGAAAACACTCCTCTGGGGGGGAAATCGATACGCTCTCCGAGTGAGAGGCAGGGCCTCAGCCCCAAAACAATTCTAGCGGCGGCTCCGCCGCATGGACGCCCACCGGCGGGCGCGCATGGCCGGTTGGCAGTCAACGTCCGGGGTGGTGCCAGACGTTGTCACCGGCCTTGTAGCCGCCCTTCAGAAAGACGAAGCCATGCGAATCGAGCAGCGCGGCAGCGCGATCGAAGTCGACGTTGCGCATGTGCGTCGCCTCGAAGACGACCCGCTGGACCGGACTGGAGGCAAACGGGTACTGAGACAGCACACTGTAGTCGTGACCCTCCGCATCTGCGCGGGGCGCTCGTGCGTCAGTATATGCGACGCAGGCCCGTCTGCGGCGCTAGTGTGTGTGCGCACCAATGGTCAAGAGTGAGACGTGCTCCCACGGTAGCTCCTGTCGCATGCAGTAGCAGCGCACGGTAGTCGAGCGCATGTTGTCGCGGATGACGCGCGAGCTGCAAGAGGCGTCGTAGGCACGGCCCGCCAGTAGCTGGCCGCACAGGGCGCACGGGCCGCGTTGCGTCGTGTAGAGCCGTTGGAACTGGACGAGGTGCGATGCGCTGAGCGATGAGATCTCGGAGATGAAGGTGTCGATCGCCTCGAGGCGGACGTGCTCGCCGTTGGTCACGCTCCTGCTCACACGCCTGCCGATGGCCCTGTCGTGCAGGGGGAGGCACCTAGCATCAGCGTGCAAAGAGCCCCAGTTCCCTGTCGCGTTTGACGTGTCCACGTGCCAGAACGGCACCGGCTCCGACCCACACTGGTCGCACACCGCGGCGTTCACCGTCCGCACGCGCCGGTAACGCGTGCGATTCGAATACTTGGCGCGCAGCCTCGCAAAGATGGGCGGCGCGGGCTCAAGCAGGAGGGCACGCCATCCGAGCGCCACGCACTGCGGCCCTGGGTCACTGTTGGCGTAGCTCGTGCTCTGGTGCAGGTTGGCTCCGATCTGCACCAGCGTCGCGTGACTAGGATCGAGGGTCCGTATCCACTGCTCTGTGCTCCTCTGCTGATTGGCCGAGAGCGGCGCATGATGACTGGCAACCGTCTTCTTGAGCTGCAAAACCGTGTGGTGCCGTTGCAACCACTCCTCGTCGGTGGCTGGCTGTATACCCGGCACTAGGCGGGCGAGATCTGCGTGGTTCAACGTCGTGTTGACCCGGAGCCATGCATGCGGCATTCGACGTGCGTCCTTTCTCTCGCTTACGCCGTTCTGGCGGTTGTGTATTCTTTTTGCTTGGGCGGCCAGCATGCTGAAATTCTGCAAAAACCCGACCGGCCCCTGCGGTGCCCCTACCTACCTACCTACCTACCAACCCTACTTATGGGAAACTAAAAAAGAAATCATGGGACGGGTGAAGGTGGGGTAATATACCAACTATATAGGGCGAGCGGGGCGGGGTGCGCACTGTCCCTCTGTGTTCGTGTGCGTCGCCCATCTCTCCCTGGAGATGACTGCTCTATTTATTTTATTTAATATACCAACTAAAGTGATGGTTGGTGGTACTCTCCTGCAACCACAGGGATGCCAAGCGCGAGCTGCGAGGGGAGGGGAAGAACTGGCTCAAGGCCATACTTAACCTCCAGATGGAGCTCGCGGCTGCCGGAGAGGCCGATTTTGACGGCCTTCTCTCCGAGGCGCTTGCGGCGTGTGACGCAGCCACACCTTCGGGTGGGGAGGAGATTGGTGCCTGTGCATTGAAGCTGGCCCAGGAGCACCTGAAGCGGCCCCCGAAGGTGAATGGCGCGCGAGACTACGAGCAAGCAACGAAGCTGGCAGACAGCGTGCGATCCGCATCCGCCGCCTGGGTGGAGTCCCAGGCGGCAATGAAGAAGGCGAGGGCAGCATACGCGAGCGCAGTGATTCAGCTACAGGAGGAGCTCGTCAGAATCGGCGAGGGTGACTTTGACGGGTTGCTCCGCCAGGCGGTGACAGGCCTACGCGACGAGGTAATGTTGCCAGCCAGCGTCCAGCCCCTTCGAGAGGAGATGCAGCAAGAGGAGACGCCCGACACCGTGGACGCACCGCCCATCACAGTGCCATCACCCGACATGGAGCCACCGCCGATCACAGTGCCATCACCCGACATGGATTCGACGCCACCGCCGATCACAGTGCCATCACCCGACATGGATTCGACGCCACCGCCGATCACAGTGCCATCACCCGACATGGATGCGAACTCGGCCCTTCCCTACGGAGAGCCTCCTGACGGAGAGGTAATGGTGCTTGCCTCGCCGCGGCCCGTCCCCGCCTCCCTCGCGCCAGTTCTGCCGCTGAGGATGGAGGTTAGCGAGATCGACGAGGGATGCGTCCGGCTCGGAACTCTCCCGGCGCAGCTGCAGGCGTCGCTCCTGCGCGAGTCCTTTCAGGCGGGCGCGCAGGGCGTGTGCGGTGGGCTCTGCGAAGGCGAGCGGGTTCGTGGGGCGAATGGCGTTCCGTTTCAGCCGGCAGGTATGACGGAGGTCGACTGGTCGGGCCTCGGCTTGCATGGCAGGCGCATTTCAAATCTGCTAGTTCGTACCCCACCGCCCCTCCCAACTACACCACCCCCCGCTCCCTCGCCAGGCACATGGTCCCATACGATAGCATGCACGAGTCTGGTGCCGCCGCCGCCGTTCTCGCCACGATACGAGCTGCCGCTCCGGCGCTCCCGGCGGCAGCGCAAGCGAAGCTGGAGGAATTCATGCCCTGCTGCGTGCGAGTCGCTTTCGAGACCATGGGAGGTCGTCAAATCAGACCAGCGAGCTCGCTCTGCGGCTGGAGCGCGGACAAGCTGCGGGCCAACGGTGGCGACGGCGGGCTCAAGCTGCTGGTGCTCCTCGGCGACGCTGCGAGCGTCACGGAGGGCTTCAAGTACACTCGTCGCAAGGACGAGCAGGCCCTGGAGGTACCCCTACGGCCGGGCGAGATGCTGCTGCTCTATGGCGAGGCCCGCTCGTGGCTGAGCGCTGTGACGGGCTACGCGCCTCCCAAGGGGCGCGCCAAGGAGAGCGGCGGGCCCTTCTCCTTTGTCCACCTATCCTTCGAGGATTTGCGCAACTATGCAAAGGCCAAGCCAAAGGAGTATGGGAAGCTACTCCGGCCGTCGCACCCGTCGGCTGGCGACGGGGGCTACAAGTGGATGCAGTTCTCGTACACGGTTCGAAAGGCGCCGTCGGGGCCAGGCGGATTGCCCGTGATCGATTTGCGTGGCCACGAGTGATGAGGCCCCGGGGGCGGGTCAACCACCCCCGGGCCCAGGCAGGACGACCACATCTCCATCTACAACTATTCGTTCCGGCACACGCGTGAAGAGTCGGTAGTCGTTTTAAGAGGGGGAAGTAGGCGCAGCTGTGATTAGATTGGGGAGAGATGTGATTGTGTAGAGCCATACACTGCGAGCGGGGGTTGGAATCTCTTCGGCCGTTCGGGAGAAAGCTCTGTGTGATCATGCGGTGATCGTTTTTATTAAATAAATGTGAATAAAACAGTCAAACTCTGAGACGAGATGGGATTTACGGATGACATTTGACATGTGTTTTCGTTCACGTTGGACGTTATTCCTGTTCTAACCACTCGTCTTTCGAGAAATATATTGTGCAAACGTGTGTGCCGCCGCGTGGATGAGGAGAAAGCCGGTCGTGCACCGAGATACATGCACACACGGACAAGGGGATCACACGCGCACAGAGCAGAGCATCTCTCTTGTCTCAACGACAAAAGACGCATCGCATACATTCACTCCATCAGCAATCTCCAACCGCCCGCCTCCCCATACTGCAGGGACAGACGTCGTCGGACAAATTGGCGCAGCCCGGGCACCACCCCAGCCTACGGCGGTCGCGACGGCAAGCGGCACGGCGCTGGCGACGAGGCCGGCGAGAGCGGCGCGGACTTGGAGACACGCCCAAGACCCTCGAGACCTCTCCGCGCCGCCTCGCGCAGCTCGAGCGCCTTGAGCTCAGAGGCGGGAGCGCACCTGGGGAGCAGGGGGGGGGGGGGGGGGTCGAAAGCCTTGCTCAAGCTGGGGGCTGGGTCCAAACGGCTGGGGCTGCAATGTCAAGCTCATGGGTGAGGCTGCTTCGGGCTTCTGAGGAAAAGGGCCGGGAGGGGTCAAGGTCCGAGG